CAGAGAAGCCAAGCAGAATAAAACCACGTAGAGAACTATAATTGCTTTGGTCCATAGTCCTTCAATGTGTAAGTCCTAAAATGAGAAGAAAAAGAGGAAGGAAGAGGAGAATGAAAGAGGGAGAGGAGGGAAAGGGTAAGGAGAAGAGACAGAAGGAAGAAGATACGAGTCAACACAGACTATCTAAATAATTTAATGAAATACAGAATACATAAAGGAAGACAAGTTATATTCATAATTAAAAAAATCAATGGATAGAAAATATTGCAATGAGGTAATCTGATATTTCTTGCAGATTCTTTTATGATGAGATTTCAGTATTGTGTATTTTATTTAAGTTACGTTCAGTTCACTCTTAAAGTGAGGGTCTGAATTTTCTCTCAAGTAAATCTCAGAATTTGGAATAGATGGGTGATCTTATGATTCTCTATAAAGCTAGTTAACTAGATATAGTGAAAAGAAGATTGGGCAATCCTACTTCCGTAGTGATACTGCCTCAGAAACCCAAGGAGGGGTCGCTATGAGTCGGGTTTGACTCGACGGCACATAACAACAACAGCAATTCTTTTACTTGGTCAGAGAATTCACTTAGTAAATAGTAAATAGTAAAATCTGTTTGGCTAATGTCAGAATAAGAAAGAGTGTCCTCTTTTCCACATTTAAGTGAATAGCACCTTTGTTTTGTAAGACATCTGGCATTTCTCTTTGACACCTTCATCTCTCCCATCCCCACTACCTAATTTTTTCACCAAAATTGGTAAATTCGAATGTAAAAATATATGGTAACTATTCCTCTCACATTTTAGAATTTCCACTACCACCAACTTAATCCAAACCACTACCATCTCTCTCCTCGATTCTGATAATAGTTTTTTTTTACATCCAGTGTTATCCCTTTATATGATTTAATAACATTATACCAGACATATGCTTAAAAGTTGTCAATGACTTTCCATAACACTTTTGAATTATTCAAATTCTTTCAGATGGTGGAGATGGACCTGAATGATTTGGTTCCTGCGTAAGCTTTACTGTCATCCCACAAATCATTTTACTCACATTCACTATTAGCCTTCTCTAAGTTTTTGACAGGTTAAGCTCATCTCCTCTAAAATGTTTAGAACCCTTTCCCTCTTCTCTGGGTAATTGCTACTTATTCTTGGGCCACCAATTAAATATTTCTTGCTTATAGAGGAATCTCCTGAACTCACAATTTATTTTTACTTTTTATCTTATGTAAGGATTTTTGGTGGTGTAGTAGATAAGGGACTTGACTGCTAACCAGAAGGTCAGGGGTTCAAACCCACTAGCTTCTCTGTGGAAGGAAGGCTGGAAGATCTACTTCCATAAAGATTTGTAGCCTCGGAAACCCAATGGAGGTTGCTATGAGTTGGAAGACTTGATGGCAGTGAGTTTTTTTTTGTTGTTGTTGTTTTGTTTCTATCTTATGTATAAGGAACTCCCACAGAGAGCCAGTATAGCATGGAGCTTAAGAGCTTATGTTCACATCTCATCTCTGCCTGTTATTTAGCTGTGTGATCCCAGACAAGTTAAATAACCTCTCTGGGTTCAGAAATCTCTAAAAAATCTCTAAAACTGGTACAATAAAATTACATAGGATTGGAGGGGAATATTAAATGAGTAATATGTGTGAAGTGTTTAAAATAATGCCTGTAGCATAGAATGTCTCAATGATCGTTAGTTACAATTATTATATAAAGAACTTAGAATCACGGACCATGTAGTTAAATGTTTGTTCAACCTTGTCCCTACATATAAACTTTAAAAGTACATAAAATGGCTAGTGTTCTTTACTCCATCCCTGACACTTAAAG